TGATCAGACGTTGGCCCAGACCTCCGGCGTCGTGACTCCCTGACGGCGTGGGCCCACGGAGTTTTCGGGCCCACCTCTGGGGCCCGTCTTCCGTCGCGGGCAGCTGCTCGATTCACGGCGCCGGGGCCGACATTGGCCTCTGGAGGCCATGGTCATCGTTCGGAAGTTGGGCGAGGGCTGCTAAAACCGTGGCTGCTAAAACGGCCCTCCCGGAAGGAAAAAACAACTTCCCGGAATGAGGCGCGGCACGCGAAACAGTCAACGGGCTCCTTCCCGGAAGGACGAAGACAACTTCCCGGAGGTCCATTTTGGCAGCCACGGATTTCGCAGCCCTTGCCCGGCTTCCGAATCAGCGCCATCATCGTGATATCATCGTCGTCGTTGTCATACATCCTCACCTTCGACGCTGCCTCAGCTCGGGAGCCACACGCGAACCCTACCCCTACCCCCCACGACTTCTGAGGGGGAGGGTGGGGTTCACTCCGCTCGAGAGCTCCCGAACGAAGTGAACCCCACCCTCCCCCTCAGAAATCGTGGGGGGTAGGGGTAGGGTTCGCGTGTGGCCCCCGATCAGCACAGGAAACAACAAAAAAATGTCCGAGCTCCCACGCGCGAGCGAGGGGCAAGCCCTGACTCCCTGCGGCGCCGAGGCGGGCCCTGCCGGCCGCGAGATGCGGTTTTCCAGCCTGGCGACGGTGTGCGTGCCAGTGGCCCCTCTGCATGTCGATCTGTTGCTGGAGCTCGGTCGGAAAAACACACACACACACACACACAAAAAAAACACACACACACACACACACACACACACACAAAAACACACACACACAAAAACACACACACAACACACACACACACGCACACACAAAATACACGCAAACACACAAACACACACTGTGGGAAAAAAAGACACACACACAAACACACACTGACACTGTGTGTTTTCCCACTGTGTGTTTTGTGTGTGTGTTGAGCTGGCTGGAGGTCGGATGAAGTCGGAGAAGTATTCCCCATCCACTCCCCTTCTTGGCTCTCTTTGTCTGCAGCCTAATTACGTGTGTCGCTCTTTTCCTGTGCTCAGCCGTATTGCCGGGCTGCGCTCAGGCATGCAGCGTGCCGATTTGAAGGGGGCGTTTGGTTTCCAGCTGTCTCTAAGCCGGCCAGCGCAGCAACACCCGACCTCTTTTACATACTCCCACCACACGTGCAAAGCAGGCGGCACTTCCATACGTAAATGGTTGCACGACATCTGCGGTGAATGTAATTGGAAGGCTGCCGCATCTGCCGCCGACCCCAATTCAGCGACATATGTATCATTCGTTGTTTGTCAGTGTGCCTGCCCGGGCACGGCAGGAAAGGTTCAGGTGAGACATGCTGGCCTGAGCGTCGCCCCGCTGGACTCCTCACCTCGGTCTCCTCTCTATGTAATAGCGTGCGGCCCATCCCGCCACTGTGCCTGGGCTGCGGGTATGAAGCCTATTGGATGTTCGTTGGGATCTCGTGGGTGGCCTCTCGGAGGCCTCCCCGCCGCCCGTTTGTTTTGGCAGTGCTCTCTTTTGCTTCGGGTATGAGTCTACATGGGTCCGCGCGACCACCTGCGGCACACCCCTCACACGTTTCGTGGCCCATACGGAGCTCCACCGAAGGCCCCAGCGGCAGGGTTTACATGCGTCCGCGCGACCCATGTCGGCAACCCTTCACACGCTTCGTGGCCCCATAGGGAGCTCCACCGAAAGCACCAGCAGCTGGGTCATGCTGGGTCCACATGCGTCCGCACGACTCCTTTCGGCACACCCCTCACACGCTTCGTGGCCCCATAGCGAGGCTCACCGAAGACCCCAATGGGATGGTTTACCTGCGTCTGCGCGGCCCATGTCGATTCCTGGCCCCATAGGACGCAATTTGGCACACCCCCACGTTTCGTCGCCTCATATAGGGAGCTCCACAGAAAGCCCCAACGGCAGGGTTTACATACGTCCGCGCGGCCCATTGAGGTACACCCCTCATACGTTTCGTGGCTCCACAGAGAGTTCCACCAAGCGCCCTTGTGGCACTTTTTACATGCGCCCGCGCGACTGATGTCGGCACACCCCCCGCAGGTTTCGCAATTCCAACAGGAGGTCCAACAAAAAAACCCAGATGCAGGGTTGACATGCGTCCGTGCGACCAACTACGGCACACCACAATGACGATTCATGCGTTGTTCTGTTAGACTTGTTGAACAACTGCTGGCAGCAGAAACGGGTCCCGCAGACACGGCGGCATAGTAGGGTCAGCGCCATTTATAAGAAAGGGGACGGGTCCCAGCCGGCCAACTACAGACCAATTTCTCTTCTGGCAGTGAGCTACAAGATTTTGGTTGTTTTCCTTTTGAAGAGGACTTCAGATAGGGGCGACGAGGAACGCCTTCGGCCGAGTCAGTTTGGTTTCCGGAAGAAGCGGAGCGCCAGGGACGCTGTCTTCATAATGCACCGATACATCAAGCAAGCGTGGGCCGGAAAAGATCGCAAGCTTTCCGCTGTCCTGCTCAATTGGTCTACGGCGTTCGACCGGGTGGACCCCAACGCGCTGCTGATTGCCTTTGCCCGGTTTGGCGTAACCGACCCGTACATCAAGATGATATACGATGGTCGCACGTTCGAGGTGAAAAACGACCATGGCAGCAGCAGCCTGCACGCGCAGGCCTCCGACATCGCGCAAGGGTGCCCCCTGAGCCCGCACTCGATCATCATTAGATTGAGCGCAGCAATGGATGATGTCGAACAAGATGTTGTTGCGCGGTTCGGACGCACGCGCGCTGATGTCTTCAGCGCCGACGTGGCGTACGCCGACGACACGGCGCTGGTGTCGAATGACATCGACAGGTTGCAGTACTCCTTGGGCTGGCTGATCTTCAGGGCACGCATGTACGGGCTGGAGCCCAATCGGGACAAGACCGTGCACTTGCGCGTCCGGCACAGCAAGGACATCCACACGCCACAGCACATGCCGCTCAAGACGGTCACCTCGACGGTCTACCTGGGCAGCCTTCTGCGGGCCGACGTGTAGGCGAGGCTCGCGCATCTTTCGGAGCGCTGCAAGCCGTCTGGAGGCATGCCAACGTCAGTAGGGCCAGAAAAGGTTCAATTGTTTAACGCGCTTGCGTGGTATCTAAACTTACGTACAGCCTACAAACATTTTGTTAGCAAACAGCAGACCGAGTTAGATCGACGCTTTCCAAGCCCAGTCGTTACGCAAGATGCTTAAAAGACCGCACTCGATGATTTCACATCGTACCAACGCAGAAGTGCGAAACAATGCGCATCAGAAATCTGTAAGCCAGCACATGCTGGCCAAACAGTTGTTGTACTTTGGAAAGCTGTCCGCCATGCCCAACGAATCGTTGCCTCGCCAGAGTGTTCTCCAGAACGGGAACTCGCGTCTCCTCGACCCCGGGAAGCGCCGCAGAGGACGTCCTAGACCACAGTGGGCGTCGGTAGTGCACGCGCACGCGCTGACAATTGCAACGTGCACGCACGGAGGGTTCATGAGCCAGGAAGAAGGCGTCCGACAAACGCTCGGGCAGAGCACGTTTAGTCGCCAAGCATGGAAAGAGGAAGTGTTGAGGTACTGTTTGGCTTGAGAACGCACCACCCGGGCGTGTTGTGACGCATTGATTATGATTTGTTCTATGGAGTGATTTTTAGAGAGCTCGATTTTCGCCGCAATTCCCCAGCCAGCGTGCCCGCAGGTGGTGTCGTCGTCCCCTCTTCCGCCGTCCTGCGTCGCTCCTCTGCCTGCTCTGCCTCCTGCTCGTCCTTCGGGCGGTCGCCCGGGACTTCGCCCTCCTCCCCTCCTCTCGGGTGTCGTCGCTTGTCGCTCGCTCTCCTCCCTCCCCCGGCTCTGGGTTCGTCCTGGTCTTGGGTGTCGTCCCCTCATCTGCCCCCTGCTGTCGCTGCTCTCCAGGGTCGTCCACCTTATGGGCCTTTTGGCGGGGTCGGGCATGACCGAGCAGATTTAATCCCATGTTGAGTTGGACGCGAATGTACATACACTCGATCCGCAACCGATGTGCCGTCTAGGCACGGTTCCTGTCTGTCCCTCGCACGCTTCGTGGTCCCATAGGGAGCTCACCGAAGGCCCGAATGGCAGGTTTACATGCGTCCTGCCGACCCATTTCGGCACACCCTTTACACGCTTCGTGGTCCCATAGGGAGCTCCACCGAAGGCCCCAAGAGCATGGTTGACATGCGTCCGCGCGACCCATTGCAGCACATCCCTCACACGCTTCGTGACCCCATGGGGGGCTCCACCGACGGCCCGTGTGGCAAGGTCCACATGTGCCCGCGCGACCACGTACGGCACACCCATCACCAGTAAGGAGCCCCACTGAAGGCCCCAATGGCAGGGTTCAGGTGCGTCCGCACGACCCATCTTGGCACATCCCTCACACGCTTCAAGGACCCATAGGGAGCTCCACCGAAGGCCCCACTGGCAGGGCTTACAAGCGTCCGACCGGTTCATGTGGGCACACCCCTCACACGCTTCAAGGCCCCAGTGGCAGGGCTTACATGCGTCCGACCCGTTCATGTGGGCACACCCCTCACACGCTTCGTGGCCCCATAGGGAGCTCCACCGAAGGCCCCAGAGGCAGGGCTTACAGGCGTCCGAACGGTTGATTTGGGCATACTCATCATATTTTTGTGGCCCCATGGGGAGCCCAACCAAAGGCCCCAATAGCAGGGCGTACATGCGTACATGCGCACGCGCGGCGAATGCCGGCACACCCCTCACACGCTTCGTGGCCCCATAAGGGGGCCCCAACGAAGGCCCAAGCGGCATGGTTTACATGCGCCCGCGCGGTCCATGTCGGCAGACCCATCACACGTTTCGCAGCTCCAGAGGGAGCTTCACCGAAGGCCCCGGCGGCAGGGTCCACATGCGCCCGCGCGGCCCATGTCGGCACACCCCTCACACGTTTCGTGGCCCCATAGGGAGCTCCACCGAAGGACCCAATGGCAGGTTCACATGCGTCCGCACGACCCATGTTAGTACACCCCGCACGCGGTTCGTGGACCCTAAGAAGCTCCACCGAAGGCCCCAGTGGGAGGGTTGACGTGCGTCCGCACGACACATTTCGGCACACCCCTCGCACGCTTCGTGGCCCCATCGGGAGCTCCACCGAAAGCATTCGCGGCAGGGTCCACATGCGACCGCACTAGTTACCAATTTCGGCACACACACACACACACACATCCATCACACGTGTAGGCCTCAGCGCCAGGGCCCTCATGTGTGCGCGCGACCAGGAACTCCGCCGAAATCGATTCTCGCAACTGCGTTACTCACACATGCATCTAGTCAGGATGTGTTTTGTTGTCGCTATCTCTCTCCCTTTCTCTGTCCATTGTTCGAGGATCGCACAAGAAGCCCTGACGTGTGACACGTTGTGCCCCTGGGTGTGGGAGAGCCGTGACATCTGACGCAGCCTGCCGCGTCGTGCCGGGGCGTCTCTCCTCATAACCGCCTTCGTGCTCCTCCCCTCCTCCCCCTCCTCCTGCTCCTGGTCCTCCTCCTCCTCATCCTCCTCCTCCTCATCCTCCTTTGCCTTCTTCCTTTTCTGCTGGGGCATCTTGGGGTCCTGCTGGGGCCTGTTCGGGGGCCTCTCGAGGGCGTCCTTCGGGGCCTCTTGCGAGGGCCAGCTGCGCCGTTTCAGGGCGCTACTGGCCCGCACTGCGCCTTCGGAGCCCATCTTGGGGTTAAGCCGGGCATGTCCCTCTACAGGAGGAAAATTCAAAAATAGCCCAAACATGTACGGGGGTGAATGTTTGATTGTCTTTCTATTATGTTTGAATTTTTTGGGTGGTATCTTCTATCTTTCGTCCAAAATCCGCCTGTAGGAGAACATGCCTGACCTAATCTTGGGGGGGGGGGGCCTGTCGGCCTTCTTCGGACCCCGTGTGGGGCCATTCGAACCCTTCGCGGGGGTCTCTGGGTCGTCTCGGGGCCCGCCTGAGCCATCTGAGCGCCCTCTTGGGTCGTCTCGGCGCCTCTTGGGGGGCCTCCCGGGCCGTTCTGGGACCATCCTGGATACCTCTTGAACCATACTGGGCAGACGGAAGCCCGAGCAGATCCAGACCTAGATTGATCCAACAACGTTTCGGACACCGACATCTCGGTTCTGATTCGGGCCTTTTCGGGCCCTATCCGGGGGATCTCTTCGGATCTCTCTCTCTCTCTCTCTCTCTGACGTCGTGTTTTTTTCGATGCGGGGTCCCCGGAGGTCTCGATCCATTCCCCAGGACGGGTTTTTCATCCTGAGTCGTTTTTTGACGCTCCCAGGGCCCGGCGAGGGCCCCTCGAGGCCGAAAAGTTGCGAAGCACCTCCGTCCTGACTTCTTCAGCGCGTTGGATGTCTGGGGTTGCGGTGGAGGCCTCCTCCACCTCCACCTCCTCCTTCTCCTCCTCCTCCCCCTCCTCCTCCTCCTCCTCCTTCCCCTCCTCCTCCTCCTCCTCCTCCTCCTCCTCCTCCTCCTCCTCCTCCTCCTCCTCCTCCTCCTCCTCCTCCTCCTCCTCCTCCTCCTCCCCCTAGCTCCTCCCCAAGGGGCCCTCGTGCGGCCATATCTTCGGCCGCCCGGAGGCCACCCATTGGGGCCCTCCCGGAGGCACCCATCAAAGGCCCGCCTGCCGGCCTCGGTGGCCCGCCCCGGGCCGCCCAGGTCGCACCGTGCGCCTCGCGCGGCCCGCTCCGCTCGCGCACCGGGGCCCGTCCCTCGACAGGGGGAACCTTCAAGGACAGTCCAAGAATGAACAGTCTGGGGGCGATTTGTTGCGCATTTTGGGGGGGCATTTGGGGGGCATTTTTTGAGTCAAATATATATATATATATATATATATATATATATTGGGGGGGCATTTGGGGCATTTGGGGGAAGATTCAAATGTGTATATTCCAACAAAACAGTCTGGGGACGATGTTTTGCCTATTTGTTTTGGCTTTTGGGGGGGCACTCTTTGGAGTATGCCTCATTTTTCGCCCCAAATATCCGCCCGTATGGGGGGCACGCCCGACGGGACGCGCGCGCGCCCGGGCCCCTCGCCCGCCGGGCCCGCAGCTGATTTTGGCTCCGGGCCCCCTGCCAGAGCGGACGCAGGCACAGACCCCCAGAGATCCGACGTGTTGAAAACTCGGGGTGGAGGCTTTTCGCAGCCTTTCGGCCTCGAGGCCCCGACTCCGGATCCGCCCTACTTTTTGGGGAAATTCGTAAGCAGGGCTTGGAAGTTCCGCCTCACTTTTCCAGCCCCGCTGGTGCCGATTCCCGCCCTGCTTTTCTGTTGTTGTCTCCGCCCTACTTCTGTGGATGTTCGCCCTATTGTATGTTGGGTGCAGAAATTTCCGCCCTACTTTGTCGGCTTGTTATAGGTGGATTTCCGACGCAATTTTAAGTTGGAAAAAAGCCAAAGTAGGGCGGATTTGGAGTCAGGGGGGGCCCTCGCCGGGCCCCGGGAGCCTCGAAAAACGACTCAGGATGAAAAACCGGTCCTGGGGAATGGGTCGAGACCTCCGGGGACCCCGCATTGAAAAAATCACGACGTTGGATCTCTGGGGAGGCGGCGGCAGGCAGCACCAGGCATGGATCTCGCCCACGTGCTCGCGATCGGCATCGACATCGCTGGCGGCAAGCCGGCTGCCGCGGGCTCGGCCGGTAAGTCGAAGCCCTCCGGCGCTGCCAAGTCCGGCCGGCCAGTGGTGACTCGCTTCGCGCCGTCGCCGACTGGCTACCTGCACATCGGCGGGGCGCGAACGGCCCTCTTCTGCTACCTGTACGCCAAGCATCACGGCGGCCAATTCAAGTTGCGCATCGAGGACACGGACGCGGAGAGGAACGATGAGAGCGCCGTTACCGCCATCATCCAGGGGTTGACTTGGCTGGGCGTCAAGCACGATGGAGAGGTCGTGCGGCAGAGCAAGAGAATAGACAGGCACAAGGAGGTCGCGAAGCAGCTGCTTGACGCTGGCATGGCTTACAAGTGCTACGCCTCAAAGGAGGAGCTGGACGCCCTGAGGGCGCAAGCGGAGAAGGATAAAGTTCCGTTTAGGTATCCAGGAATTTACCGCAATGTACCGAAGGACTTCGTTCCGCCTGCTGGGATAGAACCTGTCGTGAGGATCAAGACGCCTGATGATGATGGAGTCACGAAATGGGACGACGGTGTCATGGGCACCATTGAGATTCCGAACAAAGACATTGACGATTTCATTATCCTACGTGCCGATGGCACCCCCACCTATTTGCTAGCGGTCGTGGTGGATGATCACGACATGGAGATATCGACAGTCATGCGTGGCTCGGACCACATTCCGAACACGCCGCGCCAGATGGCAATTTACAACAATATGGGTTGGGACCTGCCAGAGTTCGCACATTTTCCTTTGATTCATGGACCCGATGGGAAGAAGATGTCCAAGCGCCATGGAGCTACTGGTGCAGAGCAGTACGAGGCTCTAGGGTATCTGCCCGAGGCCATGCGTAACTACCTGGCCAGACTGTCCTGGGCGCACGGCAACGACGAGATATTCACGACAGAGCAGGCCATCGAGTGGTTTTCTTTCTCGGGGTGCTCGAAAGGAGCCCCGTGCTTTGACTTTGACAAGCTGGCCAATTTGAACCAGCACTACATCAAAGAATGCGACGTCGATCGTCTCACAGACATCGCGCTGAAGCTTTTTCCAGACCTGAAGCCGTTCGAGGCCAAGCTTCGGATCCCCCGCATCGCGGACTTGCTGAAGGTCCGGGCCAAAACAGTGGTGGAGTACAGGGAGGCGGCCGAATTTATCGTAGGGAAGCGGCCGATCCCTGTAATCCCCGCGGCCGCCAAGAACATAGCCACCGACGCGCAGAAGGGGACATGCAAGGAGCTGGCCCAGCTCATCTTCGGGAGGAGGGAGGAAGAAGGAGGGAAGGAAGAGGGAGAGGAGAGAGGATGGAGGAGGAGGAGGAGGAGGAGGAGGACGACGACGACGACAACGCCGACCTAGAAGAAAGGAGCTGGCCGAGCTCCTGCAGAAATACGATGGCGAGTGGAGCCCAGAGGGACTGGAGCCTTTCATCCAGGAGTTCGCCAAGGCGAAGGGCATGAAGCTGGGCGACGTGGCCAAGCCAGCACGGGCAGCGCTGACCGGCTCCAACGCCTCGCCTGGCCTCTTCGAGGTGATATGGGCCGTCGGGAAGGAGGAGTGCATCGGCCGTTTCGAGGACTCCGTCAAGGGGCTCAACCCCGTCAAGGACCGAAGAAGGAAAACAGTGCAGCAACACCAGCGCGCGGAGGTCCGCGGGCGAGTTCCTGGATCGCGGGCGCTCCGCGCGCCAGGGAGGGGGGTCCAACGCCGACCCAAGGAAATCCGCGCGGACCTCCGAAAATAGATCGAAGGCGCCTACGGCGAATCACCGCCGCCCCCTGCCTTTTGGAATCGCCCATGTGGCCGTACCTTGTGGCCAGAGCTCTGCCAAGCTATCAGACCATGTGTTTCCCCAGTCGTCGTGGAAACTCTTCGGGAAACACTTGTGGGAGGATGGCGAGGAAGATCTGGAAGAGGAGGAGGAGGAGGCGGAGGAGGAGGGGGAAGAGGAGGAGGAGGAGGAGGAGGAGGAGGAGGGGGCATCGTGGGAGCCTCTGAGGGCACTCTTGGGGCCTCCTGGAAGCTTCCTGGGGGCCTCTTGGAGGCATCGTGGAGGCCTCCTTCGGCCTCTTGGGGGCCTTTGGGGGCTTCTTAGGGGCTTCTTTGGCCGTCTCAAGAAAGCGTTCCTGGCCCGTCTGACGCCGTCGGAAACCGTCTTGGGGGCCTCTCCGAACCGACTTGGGACCCTCTTGGGGTGCTCCAGGGCCGTCTTGGTGGCCATCTAGGCGGTCTTGGGGATCTCTTTGGCCGTCTTGGGGCCCGCTTTGGGCCGGCTTGGAGGCCATCTTGGGCGTCTTGCAGGCCTCTTGGGCCGTCTTGGAGCCTTGTTGGCTTTTGGGGCCGTCTTAGGGGCCTAGTGGAGGCATCTTTTCTCCTTGGGCCTCTTGGAGACCTCTGGAGGCCTCTTGGGCCGCCTTGGGCCATCTTGGCGCCATCTGGGGCCGCCGTGGTGGCCTCTCGGGCGGACTGGGAGGCATCTTGGACCCTCGTGGGCCGTCTTGGAGGTCATCTTTGGGGGCCTCTTGGACGAGCATGGAGACCCACTTGGCCCATCCTGGCTTTCCGGGCGGCCGGCGCGCGGGGCCGAAGCCAGGGGGGGAGTCTTAAGAAGAACCAAGCCAGCTGAAGCAGTTCGGCAAGCCAAGCACCCTTGTCATAGATTAACATGGGGCGGCGGATCGAAGACGCCCACGGCGAATCACCGCCACCCCCCGCCTTTTTGGAGGCGCCCATGTGGCCGAAAGTTGGGCCAGAGTTATCGGGCCATGTGTTCCCCAAGCTGTCGTTGAAACTTTTCGGAGAACACGTGACGTGAAGAAGAGGAGAATGAGGAGAAGAAGGAAAAGGGAGTAGAAGGAGGAGGAGGAGGTTGAGGAAGAGGAGGAGAAGGAGGAGGAGGAGGAGAAGGAGGAGGAGGAGGACGCCTCTTGAAAGCCTCTTGGGGCACTCTTGGGGTCTCCTGGGAGCTTCCTCGGAGCATCTTGGAGGCATCGTGGAGGCCTCCTTCGGCCTCTTGCGAGCCTTTGGGGGCTTGTTCGGGGCCGCTTTGGCCGTCTTCGGGCGTTCCTGGCCCGTCTGACGCCGTCGGAAACGTCTTGGATGCTTCTCTGAGCCGATTTAGGGCCCCCTTGAGGCCCTTCAGGGCCGTCTTGGATGACATCTTGGGCGTCTTGGAGGTCTCTTCGGCCGTCTTGGGCCCTCTTGGGGCCGTCTTGGGAGGCCTCTTAAACCGTCCTGGGGCCATCTTGGATGCCTTTGGGGCCACCTTGGGGCGATCTTTGGGAGCCTCTCGGGCCGTCGGAAGGCTGAAAAGTCTTGAAAAAAATCAGTGATGTTGGCCTCTGCGGGCCTGGAGGACCTCTTCGAGGCCTCTTGGGCCGTCTTGGAGGCCATCTTGGAGGGATCTGGTGCCGTGTTGGCCCGTGTTGGAGGCTGCTCGGGCGGACTTGAGGCATCTCGGACATTTTTGGGCCATCTAGGAGGCCATCTTGGAGGCTATCTTGGGCCAGTGTTCGGCCATCTGGGAGCCATCTGGAGCAGGACAACCACCTCGAACGCAGCCTTTCGGGTGGCCGGCGGCATCGGCCTAAGCCCTAGGGGGGGTTAACAAAAACAATAATCTCTTGAAGTCTGGCACGCCAGGTCCCCCTGTGCCAAGCCAGCAGGGGGCGGCGGATCGAAGACGCCCACGACGAATCAGCGCCGCCCCTGCCTTAAGAATCGCCCATGTGGCCGAGCGTTGTGGCAAGATCTCTGCCAAGCTATCGAACCGTGTGTTCTCCCAGCCGTTGTGGAAACCCTTCGGGAAACACTTGGGGGAGCATGGTAGGGGAGATCACGAGGAGGAGAAGGGGGAAGAGGAGAAAGAGGAGGAGGAGGAGGAGGAGGAGGAGGAGGAGGAGGAGGAGGAGGAGGGGGCATCTTGGGAGCCTGTGGGGGCACTCTTGGGGCATCCTGGGAGCTTCCTGGGAGCATCTTGGAGGCATCTTCGGGGCCTCCTTGGGGGCCTTTGGGGGCTTCTCGGGGACTTACTTGGCCGTCTTAGAGCATTCCTGGCCCGTCGGAAGCCGCCTTGGGGCCGTCTTGGGAGCCTCTCCGGGCCGACTCGGGCCCTCTTGGGGTGCTCCAGGGCCGTCTTGGAGGCCATCTTGGGCGTCGTGGCCGTCTTGGGGCCCTCTTGGGGCCGTCTTGGGGGCCTCTTGGACCGTTCTGGGGCCATATTGGAGGCCTCTTGGGCGATCTTGGGCGATCAGCTCTTAGGCCGTCTCGGGTCGTCGGAAGACCGAAAAGAAACAAATGCTAAATCCGTCGTAAACCTGAGGGGATCAATGATTTGTGCCTCGTAGGGCCTTCCTGGAGGCCCTCTTTGGAGGCCTCTTGGGCCGTCTTGGAGACCTCTTGTGGGCCTCTTGGGCTGCCTTGGGCCATCTTGGAGCCATCTTGGAGGCGTCTCGGGCGGGCTTGAAGGCGTCTTGGACCCTCTTGGGCCGTCTTGGAGGCCATCTTGGACCATCTTGGGCGAACTTGGAGACCACCTTGGTCGTCTCGGAGACCATCTAAGCCGTCGTGGAGACGTCGGTTGCGCCTCGGCGCGGCCTTCCGGGTGGTCGGCGCGCAGGGCCGAAGCCCCAGGGGACAGGCCAGCCACATCTGGGGGAGCTGTGGTCCTTACCCCCCTGGGGGGGCCCATCGATTTCGACACCCCTCTCGAGAGATCGTCGATGCGATGGGTTCCCCCAGGGGGGTAAGGACCACAGCTCCCCCAGTTATGGCTGGTCGGAGGGAGAGTTCTCAAATGATAGAATCCTTTTGAGACGTTGAGCACGCCAGGCACCTCTGTGGCAAGCCAACCGGGGGCGGCGGATCGAAGAAGCCTGCGGCGAGTCACCGCCGCCCCCTGCCGTTCTGGAAACGCCTACGTGGCCGAAAGTTGGGCTAGAGCTTGGCCAAGCTATCGGACCATATGTTCCCCGAGTCGGCCTGGAAAGCCTTCGGGGAACACGTGGGGAGAGAAAGAGGAAGTGGAGGAGAGGGAGGAACAAGGAAGAGGAGGAGGACTCTTGGAAACCTCTTGGGGCACTGTTGGGGTCTCCTGGGGACTTCCGGGGGGGCCTCTTGGAGGCCTCTTGGAAGCCTCCTTGGGCCTCTCGGGTGCCCTCGGGGGCTTCTTGAAGGCATCTCTGGCCGTCTTAGGGCGTTCCTGGCCCGTCTGGCGCCGTCGGAAGCCGTCTTGGGGGCCTCTCTGAACCGACTTGGGGCCGTCTTGCAGGGCAGTCTTGGAGGCCATCTTGGGCGTCTTGGAGGCCTCTTGGGCCGTCTTGGGGCCCTCTTGGGGCCGTCTTGGAGGCCTCATGGGTCGTCATGGGGCCATCTTGGAGACCTCTTGGGCGATCTTAGGGCCATCTTGGAGGCCCCTTGGGCCGTCGGAAGCCCGCCGGAAGGCCAAACAGAAGCAAATGCTGAAATCTGTCGAAAATTCTATGGAAATCAATGATTTTAGCCTCTTCGGGCCCTCCTGGAGGACCGCTAGGAGGCCTCTTGGGCCGTTTTGGAGGCCTCTTGGGGGCGTTTTGGTTGGGCGGGCAACATTGAAGCAATCTTGGGCCGTCTTGGGTGCATCTTGGGCCGTCTTGGAGGCATCTTAGGGCAATCTTGGGTTCTCTTGGGGCCATCTTGGCCGTCTTGGAGGCATCTTGTAGGCAATCTTGGGCCATCTTGACCGTCTTGGCGGCCATCTGCGGCACTCTTGGAGTCCTCTTGGAGCCGTCTTGGGAGCCGTCTTGGGGGCCTCTTGGGTTGTCATGGGGCCATCTTGGAGACCTTTTGGGCGATCTTAGGGCCATCTTGGAGGCCCCATGGGCCGTCGGAAGCCCGCTGGAAGGCCGAACAGAAGCAAATGCTGAAATCTGTCAAAAACTTTATGAACATCACTTATGTTAGCCTCTTCGGGCCCTCCTGGAGGACCGCTAGGAGGCCTCTTGGGCCGTGTTGGAGGCCTCTTGGGGGCGTTTTGGGCCGTCTTGGGCGGGCAACATTGAAGCAATCTTGGGCCGTCTTGGGTGCATCTTGGGCCGTCTTGGAGGCATCTTGGGGCAATCTTGGGTTCTCTTGGGGCCATCTTGGCCGTCTTGGAGGCATCTTGTAGGCGATCTTGGGCCATCTTGACCGTCTTGGCAGCCATCTGCGGCCCTCTTGGAGTCCTCTTGGAGCCGTCTTGGGAGCCGTCTTGGGGGCCTCTTGGGTTGTCATGGGGCCATCTTGGAGACCTTTTGGGCGATCTTAGGGCCATCTTGGAGGCCCCTTAGGCCGTCGGAAGCCCGCTGGAAGGCCGAACAGAAGCAAATGCTGAAATCTGTCAAAAACTTTATGAACATCACTTATGTTAGCCTCTTCGGGCCCTCCTGGAGGACCGCTAGGAGGCCTCTTGGGCCGTGTTGGAGGCCTCTTGGGGGCGCTTTGG